AGCAGATATCTTTGAGTTAGTATCGGATTTAGTGGGATCTGCTGATCTAATTGTATCCAAGTTACCTTAGGCTGAGTTTTTACTTGTTGCACAATTCTCCTTGTTGGCTGAACAACTTGCTGTCCGGTAGCAACAGTATTAGCAGGTGCCTGTACATATACAGTTTGCTGGGGAACACCCATCATCAAAGGATCTCTAACAATGGGACTTCCAAAGAGTGGATCGCGAACTGAAAAAAGACATAGAATCTATTAATAGTCAACCAACCTAGTTCTCAGCACACACCTCATGTTGATAGAAACAAAATACAGTGTGTCCGGGTAAGCACTAGGATGTGAAGGGATATATCATTATGATAAGGCTGTAGATATTATTGTAGGGTAACTGGACGTCGAGCTTTACCAGTTGACTCTCATACATGAAAACTTTAATTGAGAATAGTTTGTCTTGAACAGCACATTCAGCAGCAGTAAAGAAGGACTTAAAACGCTAATTTCATTCTTAATAACATAACACTTACCAACATGAGAAATTCCAAAACCAGCATGAGGAATGCCTAAAGAAGCAGGGTAGATATTTTCACTGTACAAGTTAGAAGCCATTTCATATCTGTGTTTTAGAAGGTCGCCAGCTAAATCTTGTCTGTAATCAACATAGTTGCCCATATCCATAGGGTAGTGAACCATCACTTAAATTAAAATCAAAAGCCGATTTAACCACACACTAGGGCGGGACTGAACACCACAGTGGACGCTTACGATCGGTCCCGAATCCATTCCATTGTTTGATATATATATTGTCTTGTTTCTTTCCCTTTTGTGATAAATTATGAGTTGACTTCAGTCAAAGCTTTTAATTTGTATTGAAAAAAAGAGATTGTCCACGAGTTAACTGGAAAACCATAATCGATACAAAGAAATGCTGAGTTCGAGTATTTGAATTGTGTACTTACTTTGAGAAGAAACAACAGACAGTAGGATGGACAAACCAACACATGTTAAACTGACAAGGGACATCATCTGAAATTATAAAAAAAAAGCTAATGCAAATGTGAATTTCAACTGAATATGGAACAGTTAAACTGGCTCTGAGCTTTTATTTCAATCAGCAAACTAAAAACTATTCAGACATGACTTTGAAACACCATTTACGGTTTTTATTTGCTATTTTTTTTAATAATTAATACTTATTAATTCTAATTATACCTCTTTGAATGAACATGGAATTTTAATTCTGAAACTTGGACAATAAGGGAATATAGGCTATTCATCAGTTTACATCAACTTAACTCGATAAATCCACAAAATCACAAGTATTTGTTTAAAAACTGCTAAAATTGAATCGTGCGATTTAAGTTAATTTAAATTCTATGCTCTTTTTCAGAGATAGAATTCTTCTAAATTAAAATCACTTTTGAGCATAGTTTAGTCTAAATGTATTTAAATAAGTTTAACTTACCTTTGCGATCTAAATTGAAACACAGCGATAACATTTCAG